ACCCATTTCATAGAAAACTGTTTTTGGAAGTGATAGATCAGTTGATGATTTCATTGGTGGAGCATTGAGTTCCACATTTTCAACATGTTGTTGAATTGTTTCTTCTACAATAGCTGCTGCCGTTTCTTCATTTACTTCATTAGCAAATAGCTTCGGCATGCCGGATTCTTCATCAATATTTGAGAAGATTAGTGGAACTTCAATACCATGTGCTTCGGCATCTTTTTGTACCTTCGTCAATACCGATGCTCGTCTATTCTTGCTCCAAAATAAAACGCTCACAAAAATTGGAATAAAAAAATGAAATTAAATTAAGCAATGCTATTATTTCAATTAGCTGATAGTGCGGTCATCGAACTTATCAATTCGAATTTTGATAATATTAAGCAAAAAAAAGAGAGAAAAAAGGTGCAAATGGAAGTTTTTAGCTGATTGAAAAAAATTTTTTTTTAATTAATAAATTTTTCCAAATTTTTCACTTTTCAATTTTACTGATCATTCAAATTTTCACCCTGTCTTATTTGCAATTAATAAATTGTTCAATTTGTAACTAAAATTTAAAATTTCATATTTTATCGCAAATAATTATTGAGTATGTCGAAAATTACCTGAGAAATGACATCAGATATTTAGCTTTCTTGTTATTATCCCACATTTGCATCATACCTACGGATGCTTCAACTGCACCATTTCCTTTAGAAAATATATATAACAATTAAAATGTTGAAAGAAGAAACGTCTTAAATTAGACTAGTCTGATATTAATGAGACTAAAAATTTAATATTAAAATTGTCTAATTACTTGTTGTAGTAGCACTTTTGTTCATGAATTTTTTGAAAAAAGGCTTATGCAATTAATTTTTATTTAAGATTACCTTAAAAACTCACAAAATTAGTTCCTATTTGTAGAATCATTTATGAAATCAGTGTTAGCCGTTTCATTTTCGCTGATTCGCTTATTTGAAAAACATTTTTATTTACCTTGACTTAATTTAGATTGATATTCGAGAAGTAATTTCAAGAAAACATTGATGTAAAAATCCTCTAATGCTTTCTGTATAACACTGATACACATACTGACCATTGCAAGGCCGATTATCACAAAAACAAAGCACATTATCATCAAACTGCAAATAGCTCCCAGCAAATATAGCACAGAAAAACTTTGAACAAAAATTTTGTAATTTTCAAAAACGCTAATTTTCAACAAAATTTAGACGAAGAATATAAAATGGGTGTTGTTTAAATTGAATTTATAAAAAGATTTTGTAGGATTGAAAAATTGCTCAGCATAATATCGATATATATCGAAGTTTTATTTTAAACTAAACAGATATATGTTTATATATACATATGTATTCATAGAGTAAAATAAATTAGCATAAAAACTAACTCTCTTCGCCTTACAGAAAGATCGCCTAATCCAATTGTTGATAAACTGAAATGAAATTTTTCGTGAAAAATTTTAATTACAGAAAGAATTTCTAATTATGTTAGAAAAAAGAATAATTTCATATTATTAGACTAATTTTTTAGATTTGTTGAGCAAAATGAATGGTGGTTAGAATTTGTTAATAACGTTCTCAATGAAAGTCAGTATAGTTTTCTGTATTAACTTTCATATTCTCTATTGATTATTCATCAGAAATACTATGAATTCTCCTATTAATTTTAAGTTAAATCAGCGATCGAATCACAAATATCACAAAATGAATGCCTAATAAACATGAAGTAACAGCTTTCTGCATAAGTCCAATCACGCTCCCATATTTTGAAAAGTCCAGCACAGATGAATATCCAACCGAAAGTTGTTCCAATAGCTAGAAGTACAGGTATTCGAACTGGTGGATTAGGCCTACTCAATACCATGTCGTTAGCCTTTATCATCTTTTCATCATTTTCTTTTATCAAATCTAAAATTGTCAGAATTTCAAATTTTAATGTTCCAAGAAATGCCAAATTTTGCATGATAAATTTTACATTGCTTCATGATTTATCTTTCATATTCAATGTATTTAGAAATACTTTTGAATTATTTTACATTCATATTAAACTATATGCTTATAAAATATTTATAATAAAAACGAAATAAATAATCAATAAAACTTGCCTTCGTTGAATTCATCATCTATCTGAAATTTCGCCTTTTTTAAGTTTTTATCATTATTTTCATTTTCATTTTCAATATCATTGCTATCAATATCAGTGGATATGCCATTTTCAAGTTGTACCAAATCATTATTGTTTTGTTGAATTGATGTTTTATGTTTTGTACTACCAAATATCGTGCATACATTCGATGTGAAACGCATCAATCGAATTGCATTGATCATTGTTTTGTATAAAAAATTGCCAAGATCACGAAGTGTGATAAGCATTATTGGGATACCAACAATAGCATAAATCACTGTCATTAGTCGGCCACTTGGTGTACTACATGCTACATCACCATAACCTGTTTGAAAAAATTACTGATTTATGAAATTATATTTGAAAATAATTTTTTTGTTTTAATTTTTCTTTTTTCAAAAATAAATGGATGAAAAATTCCTATTTTATTTCTAAAATTTCATATTTCTAAAATTTAATACTGTAAAAATGGGTATTTGAAATATTTCATTTAAATATTTCTTAAAAAAAATTGCATGATTTTATAAATATTTCTCTGTCCTATTGTTAATTCGCATATTATTGCAAAAATATTTGTTGGAAAGATCGATGAAAAGATAAATGATAAAATTAGATGGTATAATTTTGCCATGATTATCTGATTGCTATATTTTTTTATTTATTTCAAAAAATTATTGCAAATTCAATAATTTCTGACATTTATTCGCTATTAGTTTTCCAATTAAAATTAGCAAACTGATCAAAATTTTTGTTATAAAATTTTATAGGATTATCTATGAAAAATTGAAATTTGATAAAATTACAGTTTTCTAGAATATGTTGATGCTATAAAAAATCTGAAGTATAATGATTGATTTTGTGCAACTAATTAGAAGTGATTTAAATCTTCGATTTAAAATTTAATTATGAGTGTAATTTGTTTTTGCCCTTGTTGACAATTATTTTACAAGTACTAATGAGAAGTTTCATTTTGAAATGTCATCGAAAAGTATTTGAGAGAGATAAGTGATTACTTCTTCAGATGATCAATTGTATTTATCCATGATTGTTTATCCCAATCATTTCTTATCCATCATTGTGGGTCGAAATTTTTCAGTTTGCTCAAGATTTATTCATCTTTACAGCACATTAAAATGTTAATGTGAAGCTTGAAGGTTAAAAGTCATGTTATTCCTCGTCCAATAAAACAAATGAAAACAAGCAAACTTTCCATGAGTTGGAGGAGATGGAGCAAATAGAGATGAATGATTGAATTAAAAATAGTTTTTGATTTTAACTCAATTAAATTAAACTGAATCAAATTCTGACTTGACAAGTTCGAATGTTTCGGTCTTACCTCATGAATTAAAATTTCGGCAATCAAGAAAAAAATCCCAACTGATCAATTAACTTTTACAAAATATTGTACAGTTCTCAACAAACAAGCTTAAAATGGTTGTTTTCAAATTGAACAAATAAGTCCCCATTTACAATAGAAAATTATTGGCATTAGCCATTTTAATTAAAAATATCAACTGGTCCCGAAATTTAACTCTTCACTTTTGATCTCTGAACAAAGAATTCCTGTCTTAATTCAAAAAATAATGTGGGATAAAATATCGAGCCATTTGTTTTAATTTTCCTTCATTTACTTAATTTTTCCTTTTTTTTTCACACTTTTTTCTTAATTACATTAAATTTGTGCCAAACTTCAGAAATCTCGAGCAAGCCATGGGATGAATGTGTAAACATAAAAAAATAAATTTTTTATTTTTGCTCATATATATTTTGAAAAAAGTTTTTGCTCAGTCCGAAATTTTGCAATTATATAAATCAGTAAGCTTTAGAAACAAAACCGGTTTTTTCCGTAAGATTCCGTGACATGCAACATATTACAACGAATGAACTATATACGTAAGTGCATGAAAAATGGTGAAATCTTTGCACATTTTTTATCAAGCAATTTTGGCTTTGCGCTATCGGGAGTTAGGATGGTGCAGGAAAATTAATTGAATTTTGCATTTCAAAAATTTAACTAACATCATATAAACCATCCTTTTTGTTTGACTTACTGCAATTTAACTTCTTATGTAATTGCGATTTGCGGCAAAGAAAAAAGAAAAACTGAGCATTTATGCTTTTCAATATTTAATATTTAATCATTTATCAACATTAAATAAATACCATTGTAATGCATGTAACATTTGCTATGTACTTTTTTGATAGGTACGTTAATTAAATTCCCATAAATAAATGTAAAGTATTTCGGAATATATAATAAAATAAATATTATTTGCAATATTATTGATACTTTTCAATGCAAATAATTAAATCAAAAATGCTTATACAATATTTATATTGTTGCATTAATATTTTTAATGCACACAGCATACAATAAGCATTTAGCAAGCAGATTCATTAATTTATAATTAATATTATTAATTATATATGCTGAATCATGTTTGTTTGCAAGTTTATCCAACATTACTAAATAGAAAGTTGAGAAAAAGTGATTGGATAATTTAGCTTTTTTCCTTTAATGAACTTTTTTTGCAAGTTTGTTGTTTTAAAATATATTGCTATAAACAAATTAAATCATATAATCTACCAACTAATTCGTAAATTTTCTTTTTTCTTTTTTTTGATAAGAGAAACAAACATAAAATCAATTTGAATTGTTATTAATTTTCCCATCTTATATTATTCTCATATCTTTTTAATTCATTTCAAACTTTCTACCTTTTTTTTTTCTAAGCTATAATTGATAATAAGCTGAGAAACAATTCACTGCATGAGTGAACGCGAAAGAAGCATCATTAAATGAATTATTTCAAATTTTTTATTAAAAAAATTTTGAGTAGATATGTTATTTAAATTTAGCAAAATATATAATGGAATATATCTATTATATAAAGAGAGAAAGAGAGAAAACGGGAAAGAGAGAGAGAGAGAGAGAGAGAGAGAGATGAATACACAATTAAAAATTGTGAAATATTAGCTGCATTCACTAAAAGTATTAGTTAATAGATATTGTTTGTTGCACATTTTCAATGAATTATTATATTTTTTTACAATATTTTTTTTTCTTCGGATTCAATTCAAAATTTGTAGTTTCGACGAAAAAGCAAAAAAATTAGATAATTTGCGCAATTTCGGAGCTGTTAAATATCAAAATAAAATGTATCGTTAAATTTCTTTTCATTTTTTTTTGAATTTTACTGCATGATTGCACATTTGAAATCGATTTCAAAAAAGGGACGAGAATGCTTTTCAGTTAATTCATTTCGCATAATTAGAGCTTATTTCAATGGTCAAAAAAAGTAAGTGTTTCAGGAAGCGAGAACTGATCCGCAAATTTTAGTCATTATGCCTAAAAAGCATTTATTGTTGGAAAGCATTAAAATGAAGTAATCTGAAATGCGTCAACAGAAACAGAATTTCTTTTTATTTGTTTTTTTTTTTTTTTGAAATCCAAAATGATAGAGGGTTTTTTTTTTCAAGAATTTTATTTATCTTAGTTTATGCACATAATAATTATCACTGAATAATTGATGCGCACAGAAATGTAAAAAATTGCAAATTGACAAGCAATTCTTTTTCATTGATTATTGCTGTCTGCTATTAATTATTCATTCCAAAATTTAGCTTCACTATGAATATAAGTTCTTTTCTTGATATGAACTGGAATCAATAGTAAAAAATTTAATTGAATCAATAAAATAAATTTACCGAAAGGTTTGATAAGATGGTTGCTTTCTTTGGTTACAAAAATGTTAACTTTTTGTAATAAAACAAAAGTGCCAAATGAAATACACAATGAATTTATTTAATATAACATTATGATCATTCTTTCTTTATGTATATGATGCTTTTTTTTGAGACCGATCAATCTATAAAAAATTAAATTTTTTGAAAGTTCAGCGCTTTCAATTAACAAACTTTCTTGCTTGCATACTAAATATTCTTTTTTAAGGTTATTTTTTTGCTTTGCTTTTTTTTCTATAGCTTCATTTCTCTCTCGAAGCGTTGTTTTTTTCCGGTCAAAATTTGATTTTTTTTTTCCTTTGATATTTGTACGTTCTCTAACTAAATTAAAAAGTCATTTAAATAACAGTATAATGTAATCTTTTGCCCATTAATTTTAACCTCATGTGTTCAGCAACATTATTATTGCATATCACAAATATATACATCATAGAGTCAACTTTATCACTCTGCATTCATTAATTTTATTACTATGTGTGAGAGCTTTTTTTTTGCATTGATAGAAAATTTAATTTTTTTACACAAAATCTATTGCTGTCAATTATAGTATAACTTGTTACTCATCTAATTAATTAATCACTGATTGAATTCTTTATGATTATATTTCAAAATTCAACACTTCCTTACAAACAAAAATCTAGCACCAACTGTTTGATTTCATATTTTAATTCAAACCCATAACACAGCTGTTAATTATTTATCATCTTAACACACACAATACACAACACACACACACACACACACACACACACACACA